GTCAGGATCAAATAGGATAGAGTATGTGAGAGCACTCTGTAAACTATAATTCTGTAAAAGTTCTGATTAATAAGGAATTGGAAAATTTCTTTCCTCTTTTATTTTTATTTCTATCTTTAGTAGCTATTTCTGGATTATTCCTCCCTTTTTACTCAAGTCCTTGTTATTTAAAATTTCTCAAATTTAAGCTAGAGATATTTTTAGGTGCCAATTATGGATTCTAAGTCAAAGTTGGATGGATACTATACTATCCTCACTTATAAAAACAGAATTATCTCTTAACAAGCATAAACACCATTTGTAGTACTCCTATGATCATTAAAAATATGACTATTTCTTAAAGAGTTTGTGTATCTGAGGACAGCACTGTTCACTCAAATTCTATCTACATGCTTCTAATCTGAATGGTTCAATATTAGGTGCAATCATAAAACGTTCCAGGGAAAAAACTGTTAATGACAATAAGAATTTTAAGTTTGAGGCTAGTAAAAAACTTAGTTTGGAACTAATAATATTAGGTTCTCACAAAATGAAAAGCTTTGTTATAGCAGTTTTCTACAATTCCTTCTCTAATACTTGTCAACTGAATTCACTTCAAATTAAACAACAAAGAAGGATTTTATTTATTCAAGTATTTTTATATTAAACAGTTCCCTGGAGGGTCTCCATTTACTGACTTGGGTAATATTACCCTTCCTTTAGTTTATTAGTTTGACAAAGTTAATTTAAAAACAACCTAGGGAACTTTAAGTGATTCTTGGAAGGGCTAACATGCATGCACATATGGTCGGCCACTCATATTCTTCTGCATGAGTGCAATCTTGTGAAGGACTTTTTGTGTCTGTTTTCACAATTTCTTACAATATAAAAAATGCATTGCTAATATTCCCTATAAGGAGCTCTGGTGGTGCAGCAGCTAAGCACTCGTATACTAACCAAAAGGTCAATGGTTTGAACCTACCAGCCGCTCTGTGGAAGAGAAATGTGGCAGTCTGCTTCCATAAAGAACACAGCATTGAAAACCCTATGGGGCAGTTCTATTCTCTCCTATGGGGTCGCTATCAGTAGGAATCAACTAGATAGAAATGGACTTTAAAAATGTTTCCTATATTTTTGGAAAACAGAAAATATTCTGATGGTGAAATGCTTTCAGTTCTATTCTTTATACCAAACTAAAACCCACTGCCATCTGGCTGATTCTAACTCATAATGATCCTATAGGATAGAGTAGAACTGCCCCAGAAGGTTTCCAAGGCTGTAAATCTTTATGGAAGCAGACCATCTCATCTTTCTCCTATGGAGCAGCTGGTGGGTTTGAAGCTGTGACCTTCTGGTTAGCAGCTGGATGCTTTAACTACCGCACCATCACAGCTCTTTACTCTTTATACAGTTGAACATTTTGTTTAGTTTAGCCAAGGAACAATTTGATAAAATGGTACAACTGTTTATTGCCCCACAAAAAACACCCCATTTTTCATACAAAATATAACCTGGGGTGCACAGCATCAATTAAATTCATCTGAAGTACAAATTACTGAATAGAAACCAAAATGCATTTCAAAGTAAATATCAATTAAGGTGACACCCGATTTTCGTTCCCCTTTTTTAATCACTCCAATACATACAGCTTATTCACAAAACATATTCAATTTATTTTGCAGGATTCAATTAGAATATGCTTTATGTTTCAATCCAACAATCACATCCAATGTTTTACAAGCAGATTGTTGTTGTTGTTATGTGCCGTTGAGTCGGCCCCGACTCAGGGACCTCTCCTTGGGTTTCCGAGGCGGTATCACTACGGAAGTAGATTGCCCAACCTTCCTTCTGAGGAGTGACTGGTAGGTTTGAACTGTCAGCCTTCTGGTTAGCAGTCAAGTGCCTTAATAAGCACTATGCTACCAGAGCTCCCTGCAAGCAGATTAGACAGGTACTTTTTTTTTAAAATTTGATTCTTAACACCCTTTCCTCACCCGAAAGCAGTGACATAAAAGCCCTCAAATTTCTGTTTTAATTTGAGGATTCTCATTACCTAATAGTTTTATTTCTTTAATTTCATACATAGATCTGTGCTTCTCTTGATAATAATAGTTGTCTTCTTCCTTGTTTCCACGACAGTGAACATACAATAGAAACTATAAACTCATATATATAGCAATTCTGACAGCAACGTTCTCGTCAACCTAGTTTGTGAGACAAGGCTTCAAATAATAGAAACTATGTTCAGTAACACTCAACAAATGATTCTCTATAAAGCAACATGCTTTGGAAAGAGCAACAAGTGACTAATCTGGCACAAGACTGGCCAAGTGCAGCTAATCACTTGTGAAAGTAATCAGCCACTTGATTTGTTTTGTCTTAGAAAAGCCAATGATCAAGCTACTTCCTGAGAGAACCTGGCAGGCAGAGCTGATTCCATGAGCCACGATGATGGCATCTTGGTTACAGTATACTTGATTATCATCCATTCAACAAGCATTTACTGAGCATATACAATGTTGAGACACAGTCTGGTGCTAGAAGAACATGAGAAAGACAAGCTCATGTCCTCAAGGAGCTCAGTATATTTTAGGAAGAAGAGCAACTCTGGTTCTTAACAAATGAAAAAAGCTCTTTATGTGTTGTTGTTGTTGTTGTGTGCTGTCGAGTCGGACTCGACTCATAGCGACCCTTCCTTGGGTTTCCTAGGCGGTATCACTACGGAAGTAGATTGCCCAACCTTCCTTCTGAGGAGTGGCTGATGGGTTTGAACCACCAGCCTTCTGGTTAGCAGTCAAGTGCCTTTGGCACTACGCCACCAGAGCTCCCTTATAATATGTATATAATTATTTTCAAAAAGGAAACCACTGATGAATAAGAAAGAAGTTTCTTTTCAAACAGTGTAAAAGTTCCATAAGGGTAGTTGCTATGGTTTTTAATTTTATCTGCATCCAGACTCAATTTACTTATATTGAGCACCTACCGTGCATGACGCACTTTCACATAGCCTATTCTCCTTCTGTTTCTCCCAAGGTATCTAATAAAGTGCTTGTAACATGACAGATACATATATTTACCTTTTTTTTCCTTCAAACTTTGAACTAAAAAAATATCAATTTATATTTTATATTGTTACAAGTTAAATATTTCAAAGGAATCTAATCCTGGGAAGCCTAATAAAATCCTTATAAAATTAGTTATTCAAATTATACATGTTTACTTGAGTTTCTTATATCTCATGGTTTAGATTAAGCGGTATTAAATAAAAGTAAATGTGTCTTCAGAAAAGGAAGTGTACAAAACAGTCTTTCTGGGCACCATCATGACTATCAATTATCAATGCAATGACAAGTGCAGTAGTGCTGTGAATACAGAGTCTGGACTGTGTCTAGGCTCTGAAAGGGCTATCCTACAGTTTCAATGACCATAAATATATGGGAGGTTCCTTGGTCTGTGATGACTATATGAAAAAGGAAACTCTGACCCGTTCCATTTCCAGGTCCTGAGATGTTAAGTGATAGGAATTTATTTCTAGGAAATCTCCTCCAAGTATTTCCTTTAACTTTGCCCCCTGCCCCAGGTCATTTGTATGGCTGGTAGGACATATTATGTCTAGGGAGGGTTTTCAAGATCTTCTTTAATGCGTGAACAACTGGGACAGCAAGAAGGTAAGCTCCTTGAGGGCAGGGGTCAGTATGCCTGACTTATCTTTGTCTTGCCCTCAGAACTCAGCATAGTGTGCTCTCTAAATGATTGTCAAGGACAATGACAAAATGTCTGGGGCTGCTCCTCTTTTATCCAAGCCAAAAGACAAGAGATAATACAGGCCGGTATGCAGTATGCAAAACTGTCACTCAGTTAGATCTCCCACTTGCCTAAGGTAGCAGATGATTGGGTTTTGCATGCCTGGTTTACACTCTTCAAATATTTATAGACAGTTCCCTTTGCCTCCAGCCCTGGTTGTCATTTAGCCAAGTTATACATACACGGTTCTTTTAATCTTTACTTAGAAATCAATCCCACTAAGCTACTTAATCATTCTAGTTGCATTTCCCTCAACTTTTTAGCTGTTTGTATTTCTTGTAATTTATTCTATTGAAATAAACGAAAATAATACAAGTGTGGAGCAGAGAGGGGTTAGTCAACTTTCCAGCCCAAGATTCAATGTATTTTATGGGCAAAATAAAATTATTTAATTTCTTTTCTTTTGTATGATCATGTTTTAAAAAATTCATTTTTAAGTTGCTGGATCAATCAATACATTGTAAGAGAAAGGGAAAAAAAAACATCATCAGTATTACATTCTTTAAGGATAATATTGTCTTTGATTGAACTCTCTCACATGGCTATAACTGATTAATTTAGATTGAAATATTCAGATTCAGGAGGCAAGGAGTGGGGAATACAACCCAGAGTGACATGGTCACCACAAAGTGGCTTAAGTGCCCATTCTGAGGCACGGTGTACCTGTAGATACTTCTGACTAACTCCAGCTTCTCAATGAAAAAAAAAAAAAACTTAACAGATAAGCTTATTTTTCTCATTATAAAAGTAATACATTAAAGAAATGCTTCAACTAATCATAAATGAAGCAAAAATTAACAGAACAAATGAACTCATCATCTTTATGGTCTTTATACTTTTATCTTACTCTATGAGGGACTGGGGTTTATGTAAGTTGTGCCATTTGGGTTGAGTGGGAACATTACTCAAAGATAAACATTTAACATGTTTGACAAATTTTAGCATTTTTGGATGTGTTTTTCCCCAAAAAAGAAATTTTGGGGTAAAGAATCAGTGTGAGTGTTAATTGAAGTGAAATATGTCACCTTAAGAACATAAATTTTTCTTTTGGCTCTGATGCTAGTAAGCGTATGTTCAGCTCCTTAGAAGGTGTAGAAAACTGTCAAAGGGGGCAAATTCTAGTAAGTTAAACATTGTACTCACTAGTATTTCACTTTTTTATTCACATAAGAATATGGCTGATCCCTTATTAATTAAGTTCAAAGTCTTAACCTTACCTAGATCTACCATCAGAAGGCGAGTGAGGGCTGTGTAGAAGGTGGTTCGGCACCTGAAGTCACTGAGACTGTAACATTCACTGATGCCAAGAAAGGGGAAGTGTTCACTCTAATGAAAGCAAAAGAGCATCCAAAGTTACTAATGCTTTATCTAAACTATCAGGAAAATTCTAGTCATTAATTATGGAAATAAGACTTACCGTGTGGTTTTTTAGCATGAATTTCACGGCATCTATCTTCACAAGTTTTTTTAAAAGGATATAAGTAAAAAAGTTAAGGAATCTGGGGAAATACAATTGTCTTATCATTATGTAATAAATCAAAAAATAGTACTGAACTATAAGGGCAACAATTTATACTTATGAAGAATACTTACTATTTCTAAAGAGTATACCTATAGACATCTTTTATTCTGTTAATCCATTATTAAGCAGTGCAATTACTTTTCATACCTTATACATATTCTAGTTATGGAAAGGAAGAATGAATTTTATAATTAAGATAAGAACTCCTTTAGTATTAAAGTCTTGATAGAGGAAAATTAAACTGACCCTTTTTACATTTTGAGTGTAACTTGAGAATTTTTTCTTAAAGTAACTTCATAATGAAATAATTATTATGAGACCTATAATAGGCTATCAAGAAAGAAAGTTATTCAATTCTGAGAACGCATGACCTCAGTTAGGAGAAATCTAAGGAAATTTGGCTTTATACTGAGATCAGGATACAATCAGGGGGATATAGCAGATTGCATGTCATCAAGGGTTGTGACGGGCTTAAAAGGAGCAAATATTTCTCAAATATACGTGCAAGCCATTTTACATATATTAAATTACCTAATCTTCACAATCACTTGTTAAATATTATTTACTATTTCTATTCTACAGACAAGGAACCAGAAGCCCAGAGAAATTAAATTGCTTGCCCAAGATTAAACCAGCTCTGGATTGAGAGTACTGTGATCTGAACTGAGGTTTTACTGTAAAGACTATGTTGTTTCTACTGTAGCACTGCATCACCTGAAAAGTTTACTTCAGAATGAGAGTAAAGTTGACAAATTATGAACACGGTGCCTAAATCATTTCTGGTAAATATGCCATCATAGAAGGGCTTTAAGAACTCTATTCAGTATGCAAACACTCTCTTCTGTTACTTTACCCTCACTCAAAACTAACTGCCATCAAGTCAATTCCAACTCACAGTGACCCCCCACAGGGTTTCCAAGGCTGTAAATCTTTACGGAAACAGGCTGCCTCATTTTTCTTCCATGGAGTGGCTGGTGGGTTTGAACCACTGACCTTCTGGTTAGCAAGCAAATGCCTCAACTAGTACACTACCAGAGCTTCTTTACTTTGCCCTAGTCACATGTTTCTAACTATAGTTAGGGTATCTTTTAGGGAGCTCTGTTGGTGGTTCAAACCCACTAGTCACTCTGGAAAAGAAAGATGAGGCAGTCTGCTTCTATAAAGATTTACAGCCTTGGAAACTCAATGGGGATCACTATGAGTTAGAACCAACTTGAGGGCAGTGAGTTTGGCTTAATTTTTGGAGGGCATCTCCAGGCCATTCTCTATATATACTTGTGCCTTCCTTGCAGGTTGTAGTAATCTTACATGGCTCTATTCACGTTCCAGGGAAAATACTGACTGCTCTCCTTCTCTGCACATCATTTCCAAATATACAACTCTGTATGTGATACTGTGGTATGGCACTGATAAGTCTAATTTAAATTCTAGTCACTCAGGCATGGGTGTGAAAGCATGCAAAACACACTGGAATGTGAGTTAGGAAACCTGGGCTTCAGGCTTGACTATACTACTCAATCAGCTGAATGAGTTTGAGTAATATACTCAGTCCCTCTCTGAGCCTTAGTTTCCCTCGCCAACAAATGAAGAAAAAAATCTATGCCTAATCTATCTCAGAGGATTGCTGTAAGGATCATATGATGAAAATGTCTTTGCCAATTACAAATCAGGGAGGAATACATGATGATGCAGAGATTTAACACTCATGGAACGTTTACTATGTGCAGGGTTAATTCTCATAATTCCATGAGATAGGTGGTATTGCTTCTATATATTTTCTTCAGGTAAGGAAACAAACTAAAAAATTAAATAACTTGTCAAAAGACAAACAATTAGTAAGATTTAGATCCAAGTTCCTTTGACACCAAAGCAGCCACTCTACTGCACATCAAGCAATACTTTGGCTCACTCCCATATCAGACTGTAAACTTTCTAAGGGCAGACCCTGCATCTACACATTTTTCTCAGTGCACTGCACTCAGTGAGTGTTCAAAGCCCGGTGTCCCTGGAGCAGGGTCAGGGGACAACAAGATCAGGGCCGATACATAGCAGCTCCTTCCCTGCCTATAAAAGATGCAGATGTGATGATTCTTCCCAGTGTCAATCACTGTGGAGAAGAACTGCCACTCAAATTTTACTCAGTTAAACAGGAGTGGGGATCAATAAACTAAGAAATATCTTAAGTAATTACCAAATACAATTCTCTTAAAATTGCAAAGTTAAAAGTGACAGAGTCTGTGGGCAATAAGAATGCTGCCATTAATAGGAATCTTCCTGTCAGTGCTGTTAATAAACAGCAAGTCATGTTTTGACAATAGAATATTTATGGTAGCAATAAACAGAACATTCACAGGAAGAATCTCATCTGCCAAAGACACATTTTCTGCAGAATTGCATCTGTGCACTTTGTACCAAGGCCAGCCTCACTGCCTTTTAATTACATTCGAAAGGAAAAAAAAGATTAATAATGTATTTTTTACTTTTTTTTAAATGAAGAAAAACATGAGATTTCATCTGCATATTTATGTTTCCTTAAAGGAATTCAAATTAATGCTAGTTATGGTCCTTAAGAGGGTCTGTAATGTTTTTAAAAAAAGAAAGCAAATGGACACATCATCTTTATGATTTTTATACTTTCATCTTATTCTTCTCTAAGGGACTGGGGTTCATGTAAGTTGTGCCATTTTGATTGGATAGGAACATTAGATAAATTATGGCAGGTTAGATTTTAGAGAGTCTTTCAGAACAGCTACTAGCGGTAAATGTGGTAACAGTGGTAACAGTAATAGCAACAGTAGTAGGAGTTTCGGGAAGATAATTTAGTAAAGGTCACACACGGCACATGTAAATGGTAGAGCCAAGATGCAAATACAGGACTACTGGACTCTAATGTACAAGCTCTATTTACTATGTCACATCACATCATTTGGTTTTAAAGAGGTTAGTGTTTTTACAGAGATAACTAGCTTCTTGAGATGTAACTGAAGCTGGAACTAGGTCCCAGGAGGAGCAGGGAAAACCTCTTCTTTCAAGAGGGACTAATTCATTAATGAGCCATCATGTTCAGGTCAGAGCAAACTCCACAGCCTAGCTGACATTAACCCACTAAACACAGTTTCCAGAACAATCCTGTATCCATGTGGTTATAAAACTCTGAGGTAGGTAGAGACAGGTGGGAAAAGGCAAGAAGAGGAAGAAATAATAGTCTCTCTTGTAGATGGACGAAAATTCTGAAAATCTGTATGCTGTAAAAAAGGAGAATAACTAAATGGATAAAAACTGGTTTCTTAAGTTATAGGAGTACCATACACTTTAGTAGCCAGCTGATGGGCATTACTGCACCAAGCATGGCTTCAATTCCTGGTGTCAAGCTTTTTGGAGTATCTACCACATTCCACCATATTTAAAATACCATCGATTTCAT